TTATTTAATTCTGACCTTATCACTAATTTTTTGCATATCTTATTTTCACCTGCTGACCAAGCTACATGAATCTTCTGGCCCACCTCGCCTCACTTGCTTTCGGCCCTGCCTTTATCTAACTCTCATTGCCGGGCAGCGGGCGCTTTGTATCTGCCTCCGCCTTCTGCCCTCATCTCTCCCCGTTCCAGTGTCTGGTATTCAGCCATCAGAATCTACACTTAATAACTGCCATGGCAAGGCAGAGCCGCAATCACAGAGGCTCCAGGGTTGTAGCACAAATGACCATTGGATAGTCCGTGTCGATGCGAGATTCAATATTGCAGCTGATCAAACTGCTCTTCATGCTTCTATCAACGGACTTGTGGTGAAGCCGCTTCTGACCCCAGCTTGGAGTATAATTGGCTCTAAGACGAATGCTTCCATTACGCCTCTTACAAGCACTCACAAGGGCAACCAGGAGAATTCGACTCCTTCAGCAGACTTATTTCACTTGGTGTGTATAATGCCATAGTTTCTTATATTATTTCATCTATTAGTAAGGTTACTTTTCACTGTCTCGCTGTTTGAATCTTAATGGCAGATAGACTCTCATGTATGTCTCCATGTGATACGGATATTTCTCTAAAAGTAAGTATTCACAGTATTAGGCATACTTATACTGATGCATTATCTCTCACAGATTTTATATAAAAGCTATTTTCTTTTGTACTATGACCTCTGGACCGTTCGTACAGAGAACTTAAGCTTAGACTAAATAAGGATACTGTGGATGAAATAAGGGGTAGAAAATTTTTGTTAAGAGGCAAAGACTCATAAAGTATATTCAATCGGAGGTGGACTAGCCACAATTAATTAAAATGCGTGTATAGTCATAAAGCATGTCAGAATGGATAAACGCAGGCCTCAAAACTCCATTATCTTGTCGTCTGGCCTTGTTTTCGCATCTTGGTCGTTTAATAAGGTAGACCTAATTGGGCACACCTTGTCGTAGGTCATTTATTATAGTAATTATGATAATTCTCAACGTTGGATCTTAGCATTGCTACATTACCAGACGTTTTGATTGCATCATAGTCGGCATCACCATCGCGTTTTGCTATTCTCAGCATCAAGCTACAACTTATCAAAGAGACAAGTGAAGTCAATCCTTTAACTAACTTTCGGCTAAACAGTTGTGTTACCTCTTCTGTCCTGGCACATCTACCTATCCTCTAAGCTCGTTTCTCACTTCTCCATCACAACTTCTGGTTTATTTATATTCGACTCCTTTAGAAGTGTGCACTTTTTGGCGCGTTTAGTGTGGCGTCATCGCACTTTTCAAAAAGGGCCCACCTCTAGAGGAGTCGAATATAAATAATTTTGTAGTGATAAGATGAGAGTAATAGACAAGGATAGGGAGTAGTTAGATGTACCAGGACATAAAGAGTGGTAAAATAACTCGCTAGCCCTAAAGGTAGTAATGGGGTTAACTTTATTTGTCTCGTTGACAAGTTGTAGCTTGTTGCTGAGAATTGTAAGATTCACAGATGATGCTGATTGCGTTTCCTGAGAGGCTAGGAAATGTTCCAAGTCTACGGTCTAACGGTGAGAATTTTTATAACTGCTCTAGCATAGTGTCTCGGACAAGGTTCGTCCAACTAAGTCACTCTGACAACACGATCATGTTTCGAATACGACATCAGACCGCTTCTATACGTCTAGAGGAGACTGCGAACAAAAGAGAGGCCATGTCTCAGTCTTCCTATCGTCTGACTTTTTTACTGAGGGACAAAGAGAGACCTAGCTTCATAAAAGTACTTTGTAAATTATATATTGAAAGTTTGATATCCTTGCGCAACTGATATGCAAACCCTAGGCCCTATCTTGCGTTTGGATTTTCCGTACATACATACATAGGAATGCCTTATATTGCCTTATGCCCTGAGAATAGTTCAAATCAATATTGCACCATTTTGGACCCAGATAAACGATCAATTGCCATTGCAAAATTTTAGCACACAAGCCATTAAAAGATTATAGTTCTTTTTACCTCTTAATTTTGACTTAAAATAGCATCATGAATCGCTTAGTTGATTCTTTATATTTTAATAAAGCAATATCAAAGTGATTAATTGGCGACATTGAAGACCTGATGTTTGTGGATAATAATTTTGTTGGGAATATAAAAGGTTCACCAATAGGCCGGAAGTTAGTGATGAATGAGATGGACAGCACTTAACAAGCGAAATTGATCTACTGAACATCCTCTCGTTACCCCTTAAATCTCGGAAATCGTTGAGATAAACGAGAAGTCTGTGATGATGTTTCACAAGCGTTATGTAATTTGTACATTATGTGAAAATAAATACGACTAATAAACATAATTGCGAGTCAGGCTTGAATTTCAGTTAGTGTTGGTCCAGCTACGGGAACAAATTAGTGTAGAGTATGGAAAATGTGCGAGGAACTCTTCAAGTGTGTCGAGCCACCCAAAACTCTTATTAGTGCAAAAGCTACCAGGCCTTAATTATTAAATGTTTGTGATTGCATGCACCTTTGCATATGATTTTGCATAGATATATGCGAATGTACTGATAAGCCTTAGTTTGGCGTAAAGCGTGTAATTACAAACAATTTTTTGCTCATGAGGAGCATAGATTTATGATCTCGGAAAAATTATGAGATGTTTTCACCCTATTTCGTCTAAGTTGATGAAGTACTGGTAGTAGAATTTTCCCACAATAATATGAGTTGAGCTGACGTTTCCATTAAATTTTACATAGCCTTGCTTTGCCAAAAGTTGTTCTCATCCAGGGTGGACTGCAGTTTTGACCTCGCATCAGTCTTATCAACACCCTCTTCGAGAGTCAAACTGTGACAGTGCAGGATGGGAGCTTGACACGCTCACCACTCGGCTACACTGCCCCGAGTGCCTTTGGTTCACAGGGCATAAGTGAATTTCAAGCAAGGTCAGGCCTCTTTGCTATATCATATTCTCTGGTAGGAGTGCCGATGAAGCACGAATATCGGAAAAATTATGCTGGGTGGGAGCTTTTAATAGGCATAATAATACCAGCCTCGCGTCATTTCCTTAATGGAATATGTGTTCTTCTTGGAGATGCTGATTTAATAATTCGTCAAAGTTGTTAATTAGTAAATGGTGAAGTTAAGAGGTTTAGCAGGCTTGAGTTACTTAATACGAAGCTTCTATAATTGCAACATCTCTGTCTTTTGAAAATTTGGTTAATGTTCAGATTATCAAAGGCATTGGGAAAACTTTCAAAGACCTCTGTAATCCGACCGTGATGAGCTAATTTTCTGAAATTTATTTCAATAATCCTTTACCGTTGTATCTGTACAGGTGGACACTTCTACTCTGCACTGTGATTGCATTATGCTCAATTCCACAGACAGCTTGCCATTGCCATGGTGGCGGGTTACGCATCCTGATGTGTTAGACCGACCGACCGACACTTCTGCGACTGCCTTCTCGGGATCTACTCTCTCTTCCACCTGCCAATACCGCCTTGTATGGCGACACGTCTTGGTCCTCTGTGCGTGCGTTTCCAATCCCTTGGAACTTGGCCCATGGAGTCGGCCTTTTCAACTTCCAGGTCTTGCATGCATAGCAGCCTGTCCTACCACTAAATCGAGATTTGCTTTATCTCACAGTGTTCGATCTGGCTTTCGTCCCTGTGGGATAAAGAAGAAAAAAGTTTATTCACGGAATTGTCAAAAAGATGACTTCTTTGGCAAAACGGTTAATCCAAAGCAGCTGACAGATACCAATTTGATGAAAACAGAAGGATTTAGTGATATTGGTGCCAAAGAGCAGACAGTAGCTAAGGTTTCATTAGTTCAATCCTGCCAGGCTTGCCGACTTGAAGAAATGCAAAGCTTTATATTTTT